GGTCCCGAGGTCCAGTCCAGGGGTCAAGTTCCTAATATTTTTGCCTCTGTCCCAATGTCTACACCTAGAAATGCGGCTGAAGAATGGTTTCCAGTCTCTGGGGTGACTTGGTGACTCAGCAGAGGACACCAGCTGGGGCAGAGGGAGGCACGAGAACCCGGCTGTCTCCAGCTCATGGCCCACTGTGGCCGCAGCCTCTCTGGGAATCATCTGCAATTTCAGACGTTCCTCTTGGCTCAGGAGCAGCCCACAGAGCTCAGATCTGTGGCACACTTTCTGCCCTGAAAGGTGTCCTGTGTGTTGCAAGTCAGTTACTTTTTTTTTTTTTTTCCTAACACAATCAAACGCTGAATTTGTTGATTTACCGGGGCCCAGGACAAGGAAGCTAGTCGAGGGCTTGTGAGAAATAAGTGGCTTTGGTCATTTGCATGGGATTCTAGCAATTTGTGCTGCTTTGTGCAGCTTCTGTTACCCATGTGCTCCTTAGAATGGATTCTTAGATTTCATGGAAATAGATTAGCGGAAGGTGAACTCTAGAGTCAGAGCCTGTGTCCAGTCCTTGTTCTGCCCCTTAACTGTCTGTGTGACCGTGAACTAGTGGTATAACTTCTCTTGGCCTTTTGTGTCCCCATCTATAAAACGGGGTGACATTTTAGTCCCTCTGTCATAGCCTGTGGGCAGTCTCAGAGAGAGAAGGCATGTAATAACGTGCTTGGTGTGAAGCCTGGCATGTAGTAAGTCCTGGGTACACAGTGGCTATTGTGATTGTTGCTCAACTTGTCACTGAGGTTGTTCCTGGGAACATCCCTGTCCCTTCCAGGCACCTCTAGTTATTTGGAATGGAGGTGGTGAAAGACTGGGACTGTGGCTTATCCTTTCTGCCTCCAGGAGGTAGGAGGTGGCTTTGATACCTGCCTTTACTTCATTCCTTCTGGATTAAAGGGGGTAGGACTGGGGTCCAGAGAGGCTGCTCCAAAAAAGAGTGTAGCATCAAGGGTTTGAATACTGTCGCCGGAGAGAATGAGTTTGCTTCTCTGTGCCTCAGTTTCTTTATCTGTCAAATGGGGAAGGTGACACTTCCTGCCACAAAAATTATGTAAAGATTAGAACAAGTACATACAGTGCTTAGCACATAGAAAGCACTAGAAACGGTCACTAATATAATAGTGCCAGGCCCTCTCTTCCTCCGGCAGGGAACGTGTGGGACCCAAGCAGGCAGTGTTGGGGTGGAGGTGTTTGTGGGTTTGGTTAGCTGGTTTTGAGTGTGCTTGGGCACTCAGAAGCCCCTGTGGTCATGTGTCACAACAGCACTTAAGGGCCACATACCAGGAGGAGAATTCTGACCCAAGGCTGAGTTTGGGCAGAGAGGCCAAAAAAGGTGGCAGGCAGGTCACAGACAGAGGTGCTCATGCCACACAATTCTCAGTTCTGGTGGAACTGTTGTCACTAAAATTGCTGAGGACAAGTGGTGGCTGTGCCACTTGTACCAGGTGCATGTCTGGCCCCTACATCCCATTGCGGGTCTCTTGAATCAGCCTGTTTTCACACTGAGCGGTCAGTGGATCCTCAGTGACATCCCACTTCTCCTGAGGTGGCAGAGCCTGAGTTAGGAGCCTGGGCTCCAGAGCCCAAACTGCCTAGCACTGCCTCAAATCCCAGCTCTGCCTCTGTCTCCCCAAGCCTCAGTCCCCTCAGGTGTGTGGCCTTTGAGTGTTTGGGGCAGGAAATGACACAGTCTGACTGCAAGGGTCTAGGTGGAAGTTTGGGGGCTGCAGCAGTAATCTACAAGATGACGATGGCTTGGAGCAGAGTGGTAGAGAGGGTGGAGATTGTCACCTTTAGTGAAAACCAGTCACCCCTTTACCTTCTTGTCCGTCAACCTGCCTCCAGCAGCAGGGGCCCTGGACTCTGTCCTCCAGGAGCTTAGATGCAGCTAGGGGCAGCCATGCAGACACAGGGACACTAGGAGTCCTGGCAGAGGCAAGGGGTCCAGCTGTGCTTCCCCTTCATGGCCCCTCAGTGCCAGCCTGTGGAGACCTCCTTTTCATGCTGAGGCCATTGCTCTCTGGCTGCCCTATCCTGCTCCCAGGGTTTGCGAAGGGGTCCAGCTGTGCTTCCCCTTCATGGCCCCTCAGTGCCAGCCTGTGGGGACCTCCTTTTCATGCTGAGGCCATTGCTCTCTGGCTGCCCTATCCTGCTCCCAGGGTTTGCCCAGAAGAGTGTGCAGTGTTCCTCATGCTTGTCTGCTCTTGCTCCCCTGCCCTGGCCTCAGAAGCATTGCCCAGAGGACAGGATGAGCCCTGATGTACTTGGTGAAGACCCCCACACTGCAGGAGGAAATACCCCAGGCCTGAAGCCTTCGCAGCTGCCCGGAGGGGCATGGGTGGCCCGGCTTGGTGGCCCTGTGGCGTTGGCGGTAATATGGGAGGAACTGGGCCCAACTCCCTTTATCCACAGGAATCCTCGGCACCGCAGCCCCCTGCCCTCCATCTTATCAAGCATTTCCTTCCAGCAACAGACCACTGGAGAGGTGGACGACCCTATGTGGTTTAACATATTGTGAAACAGGCTTGTATTGGTGAAGTGACTTGCCAGGGGGCCCCAGTCAGTGAGGAGCAAAGCTGGGCTTTAAATCCACACCTGGTGGTCTGGAGCTTGTTAGCCCCTGGGCTGAGCAGCCACACATCACAGCTGCCCCAGGGGAGTATGTCCTGTCCTGCCCCCAGGACTGAGCAGTGTCCTGTCCCAGAAGCCTCTGTAATGGGCTCTTCCTCATCCTCCACAGGGAGAAGAAGTGGGTGACTGTTGGTGACACATCTCTACGAATCTACAAATGGGTCCCTGTGACAGAGCCTAAGGTTGATGATGTGAGTATGTGGGGCTGGTCCCCTGGGCTGGGGCTGTGGGGGGCTGTCTGCTGCCACTTGCCATCATCGGACCCTGGGGCCAAGGCCACCTGGGAAGTGGAAGGACCCAGCTTAGGCTTGGAGAGCCTGCTGGACCTCTGTCCCCAAGTGCCTCCAAGGTCCAGCCCCAAAGTTTGCCCCTCAAAGAGGTAGGGAATGTCCCCTGCAAGTTGTGTCTTCTGGGCTGAGAGCCCCACGGTTTTCCAGTGGGGAAATGCCTTAGTACAGAGGTGCCCCCCCGCCAGGGTTTGGGGTGGGCATGGTGTTGCCCACAGACAGGCAAACCCTTGCCATTGTTATAGCCACTCCTGCCTCCCTGACCATCTGCCAAGCCTGTGCTCATGCTTTACGTGCATTCCCTCATTTATCTCTCATACTGAGTCTGTGGAGTTATCTTTTGAAATCTTCTCTATCCAATTGAGGACAGGGGCTCAGAGAGGTGAAGCCACTTCCCCAGAGTCACACAGCTAGTGTCAGAGCCATGAATTGAGTTCAGGTCTATCTAACTCCAAAGTGCACGCTCTTTCCGCTCCCTGAGAGCTTTCTGGTGGTTGGAGCTGCTGGTGAGAGGTGGCTCCAGGAGTGAGAGAGCCTGGTGCGGGAATGCAGGAGTGCCTGGGCCACTGTGAGGAGCGCCAGGAGGCTTCCAGGAGGGGTGGAACCATGCTGACTACGACCACTAGAGGGAGCTCAAGTGACTGTGCTGGGTCTTAGGGAGGGACTGATGGCAGACAGCTGCCCCACATCCAAGCCTGGGTTTTCTAGCTTGGTGGCTCCCCGGCCAGTTACCTCCAAAGACCCCAGGTAAACTACTCTCATTTCCAATCAAAATCCAGAACAGTCCCACCTACAGGCCTTTGCATGGGCTGTTCCCGCCACATGGACTGCCTTCCCTATTCAGCCAAACTCAGTCCTCCCGTCCAGGAAGATGACTCAAAAGTAACCCACATGGCTCCAGTCACTCCTGGGAGTGAGGTAGACATGATTGGTAAGTTTTGGGTGGGAACACTCGATTCTATAGAGACAGGGGCTAATCCTTTCTCCACCATCTACAGTTACCTGCCCCGTGAATCTTGGGTCTCCAGCCAAGGCTGAGGCTCTATTCTTGACCCTGTGATCACATGCTCACCCCAGGTGGGTTGGTGCTGGGCTGAGAACTTAGGTGTTTCTCGTCCCTTCTAGCTCTGGCCTGGGCTCATGGAGCTACTAGGACTGCTTTCCCCAAAGGGACCGACACTTGGTCTGTCTCTGCATCTCTGGAGCAAGAGCAGAGCAGCCAGGCTCCTGGAAGGCAGCTCCTGGCTCTGGCCCATGTCTGCGCCTTGCACATCATTAGGTGTTGTAGAAATGCCGGTTGCATTTGAGAAGACGTGGTCCCTGCTCTCAAGGAATTTCTAATCTCATTGGGGGAAGATAATTATAGGATAGCATGAAACAGACATCAGGGAAGTGCCAAATGGAATATGATCAAGGAGAGAAGGTAATATATGGGCCATCGGGAAGGCAGCATAACTCTGGGCTGGGCAAAGAGCATTGGATTTGGAGTTGGACAGACCACTCCTGATTAATCTATGATGTTGGACAGGTGACCCCACCTTGCTGGACCTTAGTTCCCTCTTTTGTGCAGTGGAGCACTAATATCCAGCTCATGGGGTTTCTGCAACAGAGCCGAGGCAGTACTCATATATCACATGGAGAACACTTAGCACAGTGCCGCCTGTGCAGACAGCGCTTGAGAAATCCTAATTCCCTTTTCATGTCTGAGCTATGATGTGTAGTGCGCCATTCCCTGACCCCTCTTTCCCTCTAGTGCGATGCCTGGGAACCATCTGATAAAATGCAGATTCCTGGGTCCCGCCCCAGACAGCTTAATCTGAATCTCTGAACGTTGGGGTCTGGGAATCTGCATTGTGTAGGGATAGCTTTCTATTAGTTTAAACACCCAATTACTGTATGGTTTTTACCTTTTTTTTTTTAGAACTCTTGTATTTCATCCTTTTAAATAGATAAAACAGGGCTGGCTGGTTAGCTCAGTTGGTTAGAGTTCAGTGTTGTTAACACCAAGGTCAAGGGTTTGGATTGCTTTACCTACCAGCTGCAAAAAACAAACAGTAGATTAAACATGTTACGAAATTTGAACATTACTTTAAAAACAATTTTTTAATTAAGATGATTCACATCCCATAATATTCACTTTTTAGGGTATACAGTTCCATGTTAGTATATTCATAGTTGTGCAACCATCACCATTATAATTCCAAAACATTTTCTTCACCCCAAAAGAAAACTCATATCCATTAGCAGTCACTCCCTATTTCCCCCTCCCTCTGCCCCTGCTGACCACCAATCTTATGGGTTTGTGTATTCTTCAAATGTTACTGTTACAGTATATCTTTTTATAAATCTGCCTCTCATCTCTGCCTGTTTCCCCTCCACCCCTGTTCTATTCCCTGGAGGCAACCAACTTTACCAGTTTTTGTTTATCCTTCCAGAGGGAGCTTGTGCTCATAAACACAAATGCAAAGAAACACACACGTGTTTATCCTTTCCTTGCCATTAATGGTGGCATTCATGTGTTCCGCACCTTTCTTTCATACATCTTGGAGATATTGAGGTATTTTAATATGTTAATATTTTTGGGCCGGCCCGTGGCTCACTCGGGAGAGTGTGGTGCTGATAACACCAAGGCCCCGGGTTCAGATCCCACATAGGGATGGCCGGTTCGCTCACTGGCTGAGCGTGGTGCTGACAACACCAAGTCAAGGGTTAAGATCCCCTTACCGGTCATCTTTTAAAAAAAAAAAAAAAAGTTAATATTTTTGTAGATTACTCATATTAGTACGTGAAGAGCTGCCCTATTCTCTGTAATTGTTGCATTGTATTACATTGAATGAATGTACCATCAGTTACTGATGGACACAGGTTGCTTCCAACACGATTCTGTTCTCATCATGAAAAATGGAATGGCACATGAAAACCATCCCCTTCCCCATCCTACTCCCTGGGTTTTCCCTCCTTAACTCCTTTGCTATTTTGGTGCTGGAAGTCAGCTGACTCCACTTTGGGAGAATTGGCCTGAGGCTTGTGAAAGTGAGTGACCCGTGTCTTTTCCGTGGTTCCCCTGGCATCACTGTGCCTGCTCTGGGCTGATGGTGGCTGTCGCCTTTTCTCCAGATGCTCTCCCTAAAGCAGGAGGTGGTTCCTGCCAGCCAGGATGTTTGCATGCCTGCTGGTGATGGCCCCACAAATAGGCGGGTTTATTGCCCACAGTGCTGGGGCTGGGCCAGCCTCAGAAGCCTCCCCTTCATGGAGCTCCTTGATTCCAAAGTGGGTGAGGTCCAGAGTGTGGCCCCTAATGTGACACGTTCAAATTCAGGCCAAGGAAAACCCTCCAGAGGCATGGGGGCACTAAGATGAATTGATGGCATAAAATATTCATACCACTTCCCAGGGGCTCACAGGCACAAGCACACACTTGATCTTCGTGACTTGGTTTCTGCTCCATTTTTCCCTCCAGAAAAACAAGAATAAGAAAAAAGGCAAAGATGAGAAGTGTGGCTCAGAGGTGACCACTCCGGAGAACAGCTCCTCCCCGGGGATGATGGACATGCACGGTGAGCTCCCCGCGGCTGGCCGGCAGCCTCTCCAGCCAGGTCCCTGGGCTGTGGCAAAGCCCTGAGTTGGGTTTTGTTTCTCCAGCAGGTTTGTTCACATTCCAGGCAAAGGGTAGCAGGGCTGGGCAGGACTGGGAGGCCTCTGTGCCAAGGATAAGGCTCAGGAGAGGAGAGAAAGTTTCTTTTCCTGGTGCACCAAGCCAAAACACATAAAATAAGCCAGACAACGTAAAAATAAGACCCTCTCCTCACCCGGTGACAAAAACTCACAGGAGATATTTCTGTCAGCCCCATGTACCCAGGAAGATTTTTGGGGGTGTACGTTCCTTTTTCCCACCTAGGCCTGACATACATATAAATGGCTATGTTTTCCATTTCCCATTTTGCTTTGGCTGCTGGGAAGCTCCAAAGCATGTCAACAGCTGAACTTTCCCCACTGTCTTATTTCAAAAGTTGTAAGCCTGTGTCCCACCAGTCAAATCCAGGCTGGTGATGTGCTTTAGCTAGCCTGCTGCCATTTTCACATTGTGGTGTTCATTTCTCTTCTTACCTTTTTAGTTGAGAGGAAAGATGCAAATCCTAAGGGTACAGCTCAATGAAATGTTCACGAACTGCATGTAGGTGACTAGGCCAAGTCAAAACACACAGTGTTCCCAGCAGTCCTCCTGGTGTCCCTTCCTGGTCATCCCCACCCCTCTAAGGAAAATCACCTCAGAGATTCAAACCTGAAGTTTTTTAAAAATTGAGTTAAGCTTCCGATATTTATAAATCAGGAAACCTGCATTATTGTTCTGTGTGCTTCCTCAAAGCAGTGGCCACGGAAGCAGCTATCCCTCAGGGAGGGCACAGCCTCTCTGGGCCCACCTGGTTCTCCTCTTATTTTGTCACCTGCCTGGCCTGACAATACTAGAGCTTACAGCCCCTGCCTTTTTCGTCTCTTGATCCTAATTTTAATGTCTTTGTGCTTTTGACAGCCCTGAACCTTTTGTACAACGTGGTGGTGTCAGATAACTAAATAAGTTATCAATGAAGGAGCAGTGGTTCGTGGGACTTTCTAACGCCTCCGGACCCAGGGCTGTCTTGTTCTGGGCAGGAGGGCCGGCAGATTTCCCCATTTGCCCATACTGACTACTCACCAGCTGCAAGGTCAAGGAGTCTCACTTGTTGCTGAACTGGCTTCAAAAAAGCACAGTGCTCTCTAGGTTGTGGTACTAAGAAAAGAAAAAGAAAGAAAAGCACAATGGTCTTTTGCTGCTGGTTAATGTGTCAAGAAAGACCCTGCAAATGGCTTTACAGTCACAGGTTAGATTCGTTTTGTTTTCAGAAATAGATACTTGAGTTGGGATGTGACCTGTCTGCCTGGCATTGCTTAGCATCCCCTTCTCTCTGGGGATTGAAGAGACCCCGGGCCTGGCTCAGGATTTAGGTTGGATCATAGCATCATAGCTGAGAGCCTTTTACTGCAGAGGCCAGGATCCCACCTGCAGTGTTCAGATCTCCCAGGACCTTTCCCCTGGTTTTGTGATCTTGGGCTAGTTATTTAACCCCTAGCCTTCGGGTTTGTTTAGTTTTAATATGTGGAATAGGAATGGTAATGCCTACTTTGTAAAGTCACTGTGAGGATTAAATCAGATAATCCCTTAAAAGCCTTGGCATGTTAACAGCTAACAAAACCATCACAACGTGCACAACAGGCATCTGCTGAGCCCATTTCATGCACTGCCTCATTTGAATCTAACAATAAGCCCATTTTACGGATGAAGAAACTAAGGCTCAGAGAGGGGAAGTAACTTGCCCAGGTAGGAAGTTCACAGATGCCGGGGCTGGCATCTGAGGTCCTTCAAAGGCAGAATCCAGGTTTGTGGTCTGGACCAACACTCCAGAAAAATCTAGAATGCTGAACAAACCAGGTCCTTGAGAGCCATGTTCACCTTCTCAGTGTCATTTCCATTTCAGTATGTATGCAGCCAAGACCAAGTCAGGCTGCAGGATGTGTCCGTGTGAAGGTCATGGAAAGATGTGGCCCAGCTAGTTTCCCAGAAGGCTTCAGGTGGGAGGATGGGCACAGCAGGAGATGAAGAGAGAGGGCATCTGCATCTGGCGCCTTAGTCTCCATGACTCAGCTCAAGTTAGCCCAGGTATCAGGGTCACCCTGTTAGTTACCAGGTTATCAGGCCAGGCTCAGGCAGCTAATTTGTTAAACAGTGCTTACTGGCATTCGTGGGGCCTGTAGGTGGAGCTTCTCACACACATGCATATGCATCTTGGCATAGGAACGACGTTTAGATTTTCTTGAGGGGTAAATCAGGAGAGCACACATCTTTTTTTTAAAAACTCCCAGAATTCACAAGAGGATGCTTTTGTGTAACGAGCACCTCAGCGTATACTTAAAATAAGATCCAATTTACCGTGCTGGGGCTGCGCAACTGCCTGGTGCAGATTGAGCTGGAGGAGAAGCTCAGGGCTGGGAATCGGGCAGACCAGGCTGGCAAGTGGCCCTGCTGCTCTGAGCCTCTGTAAAGTGAGGGTGGTGACAGCACCTTCACGGTAGGTTGTTGGGAGGATTATATAAGGTAAGCGTAAATGCTCATGCTCAGGGCCTGGTGCAGAGTGGGGGACCAGACTGTTGGGGTGTGGTGCACCCCCCTCATTTTTTACAAAAACGGCCTTGGTCCCAACTGTGGCAGGCCTAGAAAGGCAGTGTCAGATTGTGGTGTTATTTGTGAAATGGCCATTTGGGTATCTGGAGTTTAAAATGACTCTGTATGTCCAAGAAGGGGGCACAGGACGAGGGGAGGGTGCCCCAGACCCCCAGCTCTGCCACCAGCCCCAGCTCTAATGCTGCTGCCAATTAACTTCCTCCCTTTTTCCTTTTTATTATGAGAAGTTTCACTATAGAGAACAGTAAACAAGTATGATGAACCCCCATGTACCTACTAACTTTTCATGAACATTATGCCATATTTTCCTCATCTGTTTTTATAATGTAAAGTTTTTAACTGAAGTGTAATTTACATATAAAAAATACACAGCTCTAGAGTGTAAAGTTCAGGAAGATCTGACAGTTGTGTGCAACCTATGCAAAAGCATTTTGAAGTAAATTCCCTTTCATCATGATGTTTAAGTCTGTATGTACCTCAACATTTTGGTGTGCTTTGCTACAAAAATGGCATTTCTGCATTCCCATTGTACCATTACCACTTCAACAAACCTACTGATTCCTTAATAGCTTTTAAAATCCAGACCATATTAAAATTCCCCAATTGTTCCAAAATATGTTATAGCTGACACATTCAAAACCAGATCTAGATAATTTCCATACATCATCTGTAGTTGTTTGGTCTCTTAGGTTTCTTTAATCTGTAATAATGTTTGCTTCCCCCCTCCATTTTGTTTCTTTTTTTTTTTTGTCCTTTTTGAGACTGGCTGCACCGCGCTCAGCCAGTGAGCACTGTGAGCACACTGGCCATCCCTATATAGGATCTGAACCTGCAGCAGGAGCGTCACTGCGCTCCCAGCGCCGCACTCTCCCGAGTGCGCCACGGGCTTGGCCCATTTGTTTCTTTTTTTTTTTTAATGATACTGACTTGAGATTGGGCCAGGTGTCCTGTGGAATGTCCCACCTTCTGTTGCTCACTTGTTCCTCTCTCCCTTTTATTCTGTATCACATGGAGGCCCAATGGCGTTAGATGGAGCGTGCTGGCAGTGCTGCTTCATGGTCCCTGCTGCATCCTTCATGTTGCTTCATAGCCAGACACACAAGATTTCTGGTGTCCCCACCCTAAATGTGTGAGGCTACATCTCCAGCTGGCTGCCTCCAAACACAGGGTTCTCCTCAGTGAGCCAGTGGGGGAAGATCAGGCCCCGGGTATGGGTCAGCTCTGGAGTCTCAGCAGCGGGAAGCTCCAGACCTCTTCCTGGGAGAGCATCCCGTGGAGCTCCAAACATCGAGGCATAGGGAAGCTGAGCCCCCAACCTACCTGTCCTTGATAGCTGCGGGATCTCTTCGGTTCTGTTCCCCCCACACAGATGATAACAGCAACCAGAGCTCCATAGCAGATGCCTCCCCTATCAAACAAGAGAACAGCAGCAACTCAAGCCCTGCTCCAGAGCCCAACTCAGCCGTACCCAGCGATGGCACTGAAGCCAAGGTGGATGAAGCCCCAGCTGATGGGAAGGAGCATGCCGGGGCTGAAGGTACGTGCCCTGCAGAGGCTGGGCTCCAAGGATCCTCCCTCTGACCAGCCTCCAGTCAGTCAGTGGACAGGTATTCAGGGAGGTCCTGCTGTGTGCTGGCCCCAGCAAGGCAACAAGAGAAGAAAGGTGATACTTGGAGCGCATATTCTGTGGGGCAATTAAAAATCAGACAATCTAGTATTTGGAAGAAAAGTGCAGTAAAGGGAATGGGGAGTCTTGACAAATAATGGGGGCTGCAGTTTTAAATAGAGTGGTCAGGGAAGGCCTCTTGGATAAGATGACATTAGAGCAGCTGAGGCTCAGATTAGGCGAGTGAGTGAGCCGCATGGCTGTGTGGGAGAAGAGAATTGCAGGCAGAGGAATGGGCAGTGCAAAGGCCCTGGGGCAGGAGTGCGGTTGGTGTGGCTGGAGAAGAGTGAGTGAGGGCTGGGAAAGTAAGATGCAGTGAGAGAGGTGGGGAGCTCGTGAGGCCACTGCACCAACCCTGGTTTTTATGGTTCATGAGAAGGGAGCTGGGAGCTGTTGGGATTTGGGTGACATGATCTGAAGGACTGAGAAGAGATGATGGGAGTGCCACGTGGAGGTGGAAACCCATTGAGGTGACTGCTATAGTTGTCTAGGTGGGAGAGAACCAGGTTGAGAGCAAGGAGTGGTAAGGAATGGCCTGATTGTGCAGTATGTGTGTGTATTAGTCTGTTTCTGTCGCTTATGACAGAATACCTGCAACTGGGTAATATATAAAGAAATCAAAATTATTTCTTACTAGCTGTGTGGCCTTGGGCAGGCAACGTCACCTTCTGGGCACTTTCCTGTTTCCTTGTTTATAAAATGGGACGAATAAAAAAATAAGTAAAATGGGATAAGTAGAAGTTGCCTCCCTTGTAAGGTCACTGCAAGGAGCGTAGGAGGCTGGAATGTCAGCAAAGTGCTCAACCCAGAGCCAGGTGCCGAGGAAGAGCCTGGGGCACCTCCTCATCTGTACTTCTTTGCAGGGCGATTCCCGGGGCAACCAGGGCAGGTGCAGGCCGAGTCTGCAACCATGTCCTGCCTTCTCTGTCATCCTGGTTTCTTTCTGGCCATGACCTTTTTTCTCCCATGTTTGGAGTCTTTGTCTCCTTTGCTCTAATGGGCCAGTAAAAGCTCAGCTGCAAGAATTATATTTTCGGTTAATGCTTCCATAACTGGCACATTTTGCTAATCACTACCTCCCCACACACCAAAAGCTTTATCAGTCCAGGTGGGAACCCCAACAGATCCTCTTCCGGCCACAGTTAATGCTTCCATAACTGGCACATTTTGCTAATCACTACCCCCCCACACACCAAAAGCTTTATCAGTCCAGGTGGGAACCCCAACAGATCCTCTTCCGGCCACCCCAGGCCACTGGGCCTGTATGGCAGCCCAACATCACTCAGCCAGGACCCACCTGCCCACTGCTTAGGGCTGCCTGGAGCTCCTTGGGGAAAGGGCACCAGGACAGACCCACGGGGCTTTCCCAGGTGGGTGTGCGCTGGCTGCTGGGACAGGGCAGGTTGGCCAGCAGCTGTTGACCTTGTTTTGAACTTGTTTACTGCTGAGTGAGTTCAGGGGATGACATAATGTCCAAACTCCCTGGACTAAATTTAGGCCCCAGGAAAATAATTTCCCCTGGGTGAGTTCCAGCACCACTGTGCTCAGAGAATCAGACTGCACCCTGAGCCCTTGAACGCTCCGTGAGCTCCAAGACCAGTTGCCACTGAGCTCTCGGGCCTGGCTCTCGGGAGGCCTCTGGCTGGGGCATCTCCTTGCTCAGCAAAGGGTCAGTGTGAATCTGTGGGTGCCAGCCGCCTTCATGATTTCTAAGCCTCCCCTTAGAAATCTATTTCTGGGGCTCTGCCTCCCCCTGTACTCCACAGAGCCTGATGTTCAGGGCAGAGAAGGAGCTGTGGTTAGAGGGGCGAAGCCACAGAGGTTGCAAATTTTCTAGGTCAGTAAACATTTTACATGTTTATGTTTAAGCAAACATATATTATGAAATAGAATATGACATTAGCAGGGATTTTTTTCTTTTTTAGTGAGGTGGAATTCACATAAAATTAGCCTTTTTTTGGCAGCTGGCCGATATTGGATCCAAACCTGTGACCTTGGTGCTATAAGGCTGCACTCTAACCAGCCGAGCTAACCGGCCATCCCTGCATCATGTTTTCAGGGTTCATTCATGTTGTAGCATGTGTCAGTCCTTTGTTCCTTTTTATGGCTGAATCATATTCACTGTGTGGATAGACCACAGTTTGTTTATCCATTCATCTGTCCACTTACCTCTGGGTTGTTTTCACCTTTTGGCTATTGTGAATGATGTTGCTATATACATAAACATGTATAATTATCTGTTTGAGTCCCTGTTTTCAGTTCTTTTGAGCATATACCGAGGAGTAGAATTGCTGGGTCATATGATAATTCTGTATTTTAACTTTTCAAGGAACTGCCATTAATATGGGTTTTAAAGGTAAAACTAAAAATGTCAAGGAAATTCCAGGTTTAAAGGGAGTTTGGTTCCATGCCGTAGGTAATCCCTTAGTGACTCCCACCTGGGGTGGATGTTGCTGTTTGGGTACTTTTCATGTTGTTCCATTTCATCCTCACAGCTAGTCAACAGGGGTGGCTGTTGTCACCTTGTTTTTACAGTGGGGGAGGGAGTCTGAGACTGATAGTCCAGGGTCCCACAGGAAGCCTGGGAAATATTTTAGTCCACGTTCATCGCCAGACCCTGTGGCAGCAAGAAAGGCCAGATCAGAGCCTGGCTCTTGAACCCTGGCCACGTGTTGGGTCTCCTGGCACAACTATGAGAGATCAGGACTGCTGGTTTGGGGAGCAAAGATATTTGCTAACAACAGCACTTGTCCCTGCAGTCTCGCTGGGAAGGAGGATCTTGCAGTCCCTACCTGCCCTGTTGCCTACCCACAGTGCTTTTATTTTTATTTATTTATTTTTTTATTTTTTCCCTTTTTGTCTTTTTTCGTGACCGGCAACAGATCGCAACCCTCAGTGTCGCGCCCGTACCGGACTGGGACCGGCAACGGGATCGCAACCCTTGGTGTTGTGTCCGCACCTCGCTCAGCCAGTGAGCGGCTGGTCTGTATGTGGGATCCGAACCCTCGGCAGGAGCGCCCCCGCGCTCCCAAGCGGCGCCCCCGCGCTCCCAAGCGGCGCACTGTAGCAGTGCGCCACCGGGCCGGCCCCCCACAGTGCTTTTAAACTGAAACCTGGATTTTTTTTTTTCCTGTTTGCTACTTTTCTGCCTCAGAAACCCCAGAAAGTAAGTCTTGGTTGCTTAGGTGTCCTTTAGTATTGTTTTAGTGTGCTTTTTAAAATGAGGATGACATGTTGGGGCCTTGAGTACAACAGAGAGGGCCCAGGTGGGTTTTTGCTGTTCCCTCTGTGAGTCTCTGGCTCTGTGCCCAGTGAGCTTCAGATAAAACTGCTGCCCCTCCTCCAAAGCTGCGTCACCTCATCCAGCCTGCACCTTACTCCTGTAAAGAAACCTGGGGTAGAGCAGTGGGTAGACTGAGGCATGAGAAATAACCCAAACAACTGGCTTCGTTGCATAAGTGATTGCTTGATAGAATGCTGTGTGTCCATTTTGTAAGCTCTTGTATTTAGAATATTTTTAAAGCATGAAAAAATTCTTCCAAAATACTGTGTGACCCCCATTTGGGGAGAGGGAAAAATTATATGTATGTTGGGGGGAAATCTGGAGAGAAGGTGGTCTCTGTGGGTGGCATGAGAGAACAGGTGATTTTAACTTTACGGTTTTCTGTATTTTGTTTCCAGCAATGATCAGTTATTGCCCTGACAATCAGAAAAATACCCATATTATTAAGAGAAATGTTTACAAAGGGTCGGTTACCTCTGATGCTCTGCAAGAGAATGCAGGCTCTTTACGGAACCCGTGAAACCTCCTTGACAGCCGTCTCCCTGCCACAGGGAGAGGAAAAGACAGCCATGATTGTTGGAGCGCATGTAGCCCACCAGAGGGCGCTGGGTGCACGCAGCACCGAGACTGCAGCATCCTTTTGCTGTCCTCTCAGGGCACTTGGCTGCTAATAGGTGTGCAGGAGAGGGCTGGAGACCCCAGGGCCAGCTTGTGGCCTGGCTGCCTAAAACAGCATCACTGAGAAATAAACAAGAAGCTTCCCAAGTTCCCCAGCCCATTGCAGCACTGAAACACCACTGGCCAACAAACTACTCAGTTCCAGGTATTTTTAGTACTTGGCCCATCTGGCTCTGCAGCTCACGTGTCTGAAAACAGCTTCTGTTGTCTTGCTTTTCCCTCAGACGCTTCTGACGAGCAGAATTCACAGTCTTCGATGGAAAACTCGATGAACAGTTCAGAGAAAGGAGAGCGGCAGCCATCTGGAGACTCAGGCCCAGCCGCAGAGATGGCAGCAGTCTCTCAGGTACCTCGATCCAGGCCTCAGAGGGGCAGCCAGATCAGCCGGGAGCCCGTTGGGTTGTCGGGGGTACGTTGAAAGGTGTTTTGTTATTTTGTTTTGTTGTTTTGTCATTGGACAATTGGAACTGTCATTTACCCATCAAGCACGTGAGCCTTGTCCTGTCGTGCCCTGGGTGCTGGGTGCCACAGCAACAGCCGAGATGTGGGGGCTTCACCTTCAGGGAGTCTCTGATAGAGGAGGAGGAAGGGTCCTCAGCTTCATCATCCACAAAAGCATTGCCTTGTCTTAGTCACCCAAAGTCAACATCCTTTAGAGCAGTGAAGACAAGTCCTCAGAAACCTAAATGATGGGTCATCCTTTGGAATTTTACAGCTGACCAGCTCCTCCTGCTTGGACCCCTTTCTGGGTCATGATGACGTGTCAGAATATGGTCTGAATCAGTCAGTGCAGATGCAAGGGCCAGTGGTTAGGAGCAAACATCTTGGAGTTGGGGCTGGGTTTGAATCCCAGCTGCGTCTCTTAGTAGCTGGGCAGTTAACTTCTCTGAGCCTCAGTCTATCCAGCCGCCCAAATGGGAACACAGAACTGCCTTAAGGCCACGGTGAGGATTCGACAAGAGAATGTGGGTAAAACACTTGGCATGGAGCCAGACACAGAAGATGCCTGAGGTGTCAGTTGCCACGGCCACAGTTAAGATTAGATTTTCATCTTTAAATCCTATAGACTCATCTAAGAGGAGTGGGGACTCAGAGATCTCAAAACTTCAACTAATAGAACAGTTTCCACTCTGCTGAGTATCTTCCGGTACCCTGGGAGAAGTGACAACAGGTGTCTGCAGATAGCAGGGAAGAGGCAGGCTTCAGCAGGTCACATGATGGAGCCTTGAAATAGGCCTTCCCCAGAGATGAGATGTCTCAAACTTCACAATCCTCATACCTTCGATCTGCAGCTCCCTTTCTAGAAACTCATCCTATGGTTCCCTCCTCCAAATGCCTAGACACACAGAGGGGGTATTGACTGAAAGTATGTCTGCCATGGCAAGAAATCAGCTGCAACCTCAGCTCAAAAGGAGATGGGTTAATAAATGTGAGTTCATGTGTCAAACAGACTGGTGGGCAGCTCAGGAGAGTGTGGTTGGCCCTTCCAGGTCCTGATAAAGAAATACTCTTGCAGTGTGAAATGAGAAAAGCAAGTCGCAGGACTGCAGGCACAGCCTGGCGGGGCTCATCTGCATAAGAACAATAAAAAGCAAAGCCTTGCGTATGGTGTATAAAACCGACATAGTCTGCTGGGATCTCCTGGCCTCTTGGAACTTTGGTTTGCACCCTGGGGGTATCTGGTGCTCTCCCCTGGAGTCTGAAAAGGCCAGGGGTCTCCTGTTCTCACATCTTCCCACCTCTACTCCTGCTTCCAGGGGTCCCAGCCCTGAAATCAGGCCTCTTCCGTGATTTCTCGCATACGGACACACACACTGTCCTGCAAAACTGGGTTTGTGAGCAAGATGGAGCATGCGCTGTGGTAAAGCAAACAACCTGACATTAAAAATGCAAATTCTAGGGGCCGGCCTGGTGGCGCACTGCTACAGTGCGCTGCTTGGGAAGCGCAGCAGCGCTCCCGCCCGAGGGTTCGGATCCCACATACAGACCGGTTCCCGCTCACTGGCTGAGTGAGGCGCGGGAGCAGCGCCGAGGGTTGCAATCCCGTTGCTGGTTCCCGGTCCGGTACGGGGGCAACACTGAGGGTTGCGATCCGTTGCCGGACACGGAAAAAGATAAAAGACAAAAAGGAAAAAAAAAGTGCAAATTCTTTATGCTGCCCACCACCCTCCCAGTGCCAGGAGGACTCCTCTGGCTCCCCCTTTCCGTCTGCCCCAAATCTTGCACCTCCCTTTCCTTCATTCCCTCCCCCGTCCCCTTCCTCCCTCCTGCTACAGAGCAGGTCGCCTCTCTGTAGGCTGCACCCCCAGGCTCATTGCCTGTCACCCTCCAAGCCAGATGCTCAGCAGGGCAACAGGCCCTTCTCCTGAGCAGGAACCCGTTCCCTGACAGGCACCGCAGCCCATGTTCTCCCATTCCATCTGCTGATCTTGTGTCCCTTCCAAAATAAGGAAGAAGGAGAGGGAAGAAAGGTGGGCCTTCCTGACTCCCTGATTCCTCCTCCCAGGCTTCCCTGGAATAAGCTTCTGTGGCCTCTCTATGTCCAATGCCATGTTCTGCACTCAGGCCCAGGGTTCTCCATCTCACATGCAGCACTGAGCACCTACTACATAGCAGGCGCCCAGCCAGATGCTGGGGTACAGAGTGGAGCAGGCAGAGTCCCTTTCCACCCTGGTGGGGCTGACAATGGAGCTGGGGGTCTAGGGCCTGGCCAGGATACAGCAGACATAGATGGGTCCCAGAGTCACAATAAGTGCCCTAAAAGAGCAGGACAGGCACTTATCTGTTCTGAAGAAGTAGACTGGGTGGGATGTTGGGTCTTGTGGCGGTGGCTGTGCTGGGATGGGACGGGTGAGCTCCTGAGGCTGGAGGCGCATAGGCTGTGCCAGGAGTTGACCTGAGGCTTGGAAGGGAGGCCAGGTTGCCCGGCACAGCGTGGGCAAGGACAAGAACAGCCAGGCGGGGAGAGGACGGCTGGGGTAGTCACCAGGCCTTCTCAGCCCTCGGAAGGAGGCAGAGTTTTGATCTGAAGCCAGTGGGAAAGTACCAGGGGGTTTTGTGTTGTGTGAGTGATTTATATGTTAGGAAGATTGCTCAGACTGTGTTGGGTGATGTGTAGGGAGGCATCATGGGGGCAAGAGGTGGCAGTGGCCCAAGTGTGGCCAGGGCAGAGCAGAGAGGTGGAGGGGCTCAAGGAGGTAGAGATGATGGGACTTGCTCATAGGTTTGGGGAGGCAAGTAGAGAGAGGGGGCACCACAGGGTGCCGTTGGCAAAGAGCTTTGTCTCGGGCCAATGGTGGGACTGGTGACATACACAGGAAGGACTTGGAAGCATGGGTGAGGATGGGTACAGTCAAGTGACGGCTTAGGTTTGCCATGCCTGAGAAGATTGGGTGGTGGGCGAGTGAGTGATTGTTTAACTTTTTGGGGGGGTCATGGAACTTCTTCAGATTTTGGTGACAACTATGGACCCCTTCCCCAGAATAATGTGCATGCAAACATTCAACAGATGCTCAGGGTCCACCCTAGGCTGGGCACTGAGCCCTGGAAGAGCAACCGTCTATGTGGCAAAGTGGGTCTGGGCCTTCCAGAGATGGCCTTGGAGCTTGGAAAGGTAAACTTAAAACTTGTGCACAAATAATCACCCTGGTAATTAATTACAGATGGGAAGACTGACAGCAGGGAAGTCTGGCCCAGGCTGGGTGGGGTGAAGGAGGGGGTGCTTAGAGGCAGAGGGAGTGTTGTGGGTAAGGTTCCTGGGGTGACAGGGCAGACCGAGGCCAGGTAGGTGACCCAGGGCTTTGTAGAATCTAGGAGGAGTTTGGGTGGGAAGATCTCCATAGGTCTGCCAGGCTCCTGAAGTCTTCGCATGCGCCTCAGGTTCCTTCCCGGGTCGAGCTTCAGCCTCCCATCTGGCCTCAGCTGCTCTCCTAGCGTGTTAACCTGTGTTTCTCTTTTCTTTCTTCTTCCCCCCAAGGATTTGGAAGGAGTGCCGCCCTCTAAAAAGATGAAACTGGAGTCCTCTCAACAAAACTCCGAGGAGATATAGGCACTAAGTGAAATCCTCCAATCCGTGTTTTGTGGAAGGTACATCAGCAATTAATTCTAGAACAACTTTGCCCAAGTGATTCCTCTTGGGTGTGAACAGAACTACTAACGTTTCAAGTTTACCAAGTGCAAATCCAAGAAAACCTAGAACGGCGTAACTTCTCAGACACTGAAGAACTTTCTGCTGTGAAGCAAAACACTCGAACCTTTATGTGACTGTCCCTGGGGAGGCGGGATCGACAGCTCAGGAGTGTCTGCACACTGTCTCGGAAGCCAAGATTCCATTTGTGTTGCTGCTGTAGTTTTCCCCACTTCTCTATTTAACGATATAAGCTATTTGAGGGTGGTACCGATCAGGAATTCGCTTTGCGTTGGGGCTTCTCACTGTTCCACCGATTCCTTCCGCTTTCTTTTTTTGTGCCTTGTGCCCTTGAGGTGACCTCTGGCATGTTTCCTGGTTGTTTTGCATCTCCCTTTGCAAAGTGCCCTGTTTTGTTCAGGCGGCAGCTGCCACCATCCCCAGCCCTCTCTCTTCCCTGCCCAGGACTTCATTGGAGCAGGCAGGGCAGAGCAGGGGGGCCCCAGCCCACCTGATTTCCAGGTGCAGGGGGCTTGGGCATGCCCTGAGCCCTGAGTGGGGTCAGCCCTAGCCTTGAGGACCTGAGGAGTGGCAGGTGCCAGGGCACAGTCTCCAAGGGCTGGCCTTGAGGGCACTGGTTATGCCCTCACTTCCTCGGGGCATTTGAGGAGGGGTGTTTCCAAGCCCATTGTGACCCAGACAGATTTGCAAAGCTCCTAGATTTGTCTGGCACTTCCACCCTGCTTCCACATTGTCACCACCACCTCCGTCACCACTGTCTCCCAGACCTCTGATGGCTTCTCTGGTCGACTGCAAGGTTGCCTCCTTAGGACGATAACAGGGCCGGGAGGCTGGGAGCCAGCGGCAGGAATAGCTGGTGCTGACCCTTCTCCCACGGGACGTCGCTTGGATTTCAAATCCACGGAAACCTGCTGTCTTCTGCCTCCCCTTCGCCCTGCCCTTCCCCTGGAAGAGGCAAGGTGCAGGCAGTTGAAATCCACTTGCTTCTGCATAATGTCCTGACTCTCAGAGCCAACACTTGGATCGTGTCTCACTCCCAGGACATGCCGTCGATCCCCACTGGGGAGCGGGCCTTGATGGGTGGGCCTTGAAGGCCAAAAACAAGGCACCAAGGAATTGGAAAAATTTGCACACCCTCCAAAAAGGAGTAACTGACTCTTCCCTTCCCCTCTATGTCCCGCCTGCGCTGGGACAGCTTCCTCTTACTAGAATGGAGATGCCCCCTCGGATGAACTGCCTAATTGGTTCTGAGGTCTGGTTTGCTCTTAATTGATTTACAGACTCCTCAGACCTTAAACCTTTTCCTGAGCTTTCTTTACTGCACTGGAGTTCTAACTCCCTTTGAATTGTGTATTATTGGGGGGGGGGGGGGTTGTTGTTGGTTTGGTTTGGTTTGGTTTTTTGTTTTTTGTGGTTTTTTTTTGGCTATTTGGTGCATATTCAGGTACCACCTTTGACGTGTGGATCTTTCTCCTGACCACAATGGGAAGTGTCTGCCAGATTCCATTTTCTAAGAGTTTCTGAGGGTGAGGCTCTTATTTTTTTCTTTAGGGAGCCTATCTGTTTCCTGCACTTCAAGAAGAATCAAAATGTTCCTGAATTTCAAATACCTCATGCAAAATGTCTCCTGAAATAAGGGAAGAAAAAAAAAAAACTTTGAAAATCTTGATGTTGAAGTTAGCAATGCTGAAATGTTTCTGTCTTAAAAAAAAAAAAAAAAAAAAGTCCTTGTACTTATCAGTTTTGCCCCTCAGGCAGTCAGTTCTGTTGAGAACTGTGTTCTGCGTCTTGAGGCAGAAGCATCTAGATGCGTTACCTCTCAACGTATCTCAAGGCGGCTTTACCTCCAGATCCTGTAGAGTTAGAGTAACGTTTTTCTTTGCAGCAAAACTCCATTTTTGATGGCGGATGAATTTGGATATTTGTTTCCTTTGCTTTTTTTGGGAAACGAGAGGTTAGGAGCAAGACAGCTGAAGGAGAATCAGACCCACGCATCCGCGGAAACAAAGGCAGCGAGGGCCACTTGTGCCTCTGGGCAGGCAAGGGGAGTGGCGCGGTGACGCGGGGCTGTCAGTAGTCTTTCTCTGAAGTGCCTGAAGGTAGGAACTGGCCAGCGGTCGGGTCACTCGGCCCCGCCGCCGCCACGCCACGCCAGGCAAAGCGCCCGCAGCCCTGCATTCCACGCCGGCCTTCCAGGTCGTCCGCGCCGCGGCGAGACTGCGAATCCCACGTGCTTCCTTCCCGGCCGGGCCGCTCCCAGGGCCGCTCCTCCCCGCCGCAGAATCGAAGACCTTCCAGCCGCCGGCCAGGGCCCAGGGCCGGGGCACCCGCCGACAACGCCTTCCGCAGACGCCAGGCCCCCTGGCCTCAAGGGCTTGCAGGGCAAACTTAGCTCCCCCCCCAAAACTTGAAGTTGGGGAAGCCGCGGCTACACATTCCACAAAGTGCTGGCACTTACACCCAAACCCGGAGGGCTGTTGACCGATTCGTGTAGGGTGGTGACCTCCCATTATCAAACGGTGTCATGGTTTGGAATGTTCATTATCGCCGAGGACCTGGTTAGAGGTATAAAGACCTTTTTTTCACCGTTATCTAATTTTTGTTTTCCTCTTAAGATTTTTTTTTTTTTTTTGGTGTGTTGTACAGCAGTATAATTTTTCACTTATTTATTCCATCAGTAGATATGGTTTGTACAATGTACAATGGTTCCATTTCAGAAAATAAAAAAAAAAATTCAAATCATGAATACCCCGTGCTTTGGTCGCCTTATAATAAGGAGGAAAATCAGATTAGTGGTGAGGATGTCCCTTACCACCTATTGTGGCCTTTTCTGCATGGCTGGGTAGCCCTGACTGCAGGATGTGGTGAGCCCCTTGCAGGCAGGGACTGTCACCTTACACAGTCGTGACAGTTGCCATTATTAAGCACCAGCTGAGTGCCAGGCAAGCCACTGTACAATTCTTTCTGGGGGTTGTGGTGGTCACCTCACGCAAATTAGGAAACAGGACTGTCCTTTGCCTGGCTCGAGTGGCCAGTCAGAGCTGCAGTTTAAAAGCCACACCTGAGGGCCGAGCCCGTGGCGCACTTGGGAGGGTGTGGCACTGGGAGCGCAGCAGTGCTCCCACCGCGGGTTCGGATCCTATATGGGGATGACTGGTGCGCTCACAGCGCTCACTGGCTGAGCGCGGTGCGGCTGGTCTCAAAAAGGACAATAAATAAATAAATAAATAAATATAAATAAAAGCCACACCTGATCCCCACTCCCACCCCATGTTCTAGTGAGGATACCAGTTTGCCACTTCCCTGACCTTGGTGGACTCTGGCCCATGGGTAGGGACTTTGGGGGTCAGTGTGCAGGTGGGTTGCGACCTTACTTTGACTTAACAAAGGGTCTTGTGACTTGTGGTCAGGCTGGAGCCAGAAATTGCCCAGGCCCTTCCCCTCTCAGCTTACTCCCTCCCCTGAGTTGACTTGTTTTCCCCTCTGCAGTCTCCCTTCCAGCTGAAACCAGCCCCAGGTAAGCTGCCCAAAGGGGGTGGGGGCGGGAATATCGTTTCAGTGAGGTCTGGGCCAAGTCTCACTGCGTTGACCGACCTGGAGGCAAATGTTATCTCATTTTTCTTTTGTCTTACTCTCCACCCCCTCCCCATGCTGTTCCTTTTTAACATGTTGCAGTGTTTTTGCCAGAATGGGTTGCTCAGCTAAATAAACTCCTGATATGGAAGGTTCAGCTTGACAAAACACAAATCATAGGGGCCTTGTTTACTTAATGAAAAAATAGCTTTAGCTGGCACTCTTTCCTGCTCTCCTTTTCTGTCCTCCCTGTGTGTCTGTTCCCTGGCCTTTGCTCTCGGGATCAGCATCCTTTCCTTCCAGACTCGTCTGTCTGTGGATCTTGCCCTTTTCTGTCTGCCACCTTTGTCTCCACTGTTCTTGATCTCTGTCCCTCAGTTGTTCTGTTCACTTTCTCTGTCTCACTGTCTGCAGCTGTCTTCTTCTCCCATCTCCCTTCGTTGAGGAGCAGAATTACACAAGAGCTGAGAACATAAGCTTTACAGGCATTCATTGAGCACCGTCTGTGTCCTGGGCTCTGGGGAGGAATGACTCAAATTTGACCCCTTCTCTTCAAGCAGGTAAGTGAGCCCTTGTGCACCACGATGCCTAAAGTAGTTTGGAATTAGAAGACGCATTTTGATGGCAGGGGTCAGGGAGGCTCCTGGGATGGTGGAAGAACCCCAGGCATGAGGCTAAGAAGCTTATTTTTCTTTGCTGACGTGAAGGAGTAGCTGGAGGTTTCTGAGCCAGGGCTCACAGGACTGGAAATGGTATTGCCCATAAATAGCACAGGTTGGAAAAGGCCAGATTGGAGGTGGGGGCGGAGACAAGTAGGGAACTGACACAACAGGCAAAGCAGGAGGCCTGCAGTTGGCAAGAGGGCTCACATGCCCCCAGGTGATATGAAGGGGTCAGAGGGGATTGGAGGGCTGGAAGGGGGCAGGGCAGGCAGAGGAAGCTCAGGTCAAGGTCAAAGTCCATGCCAAGCCAACAAGTGTCATGGAGGACTGTGGTACCAAGGATGGATTGCAGACCCCAAAGGCCAAGTCTGACTTACCTCCCTAACTCCTTGGGGGGAGGAATGCGGATCTTCTGCAGAGGCTCACAGCAGCCACTCACTGGCTTTGTCTATTCAGTTGCCTTCCCCTCTTCTTCCCACAGGGGCTGACCTCCCTCACAGTCCTTAAAAGGGGTTGGCCCTGCTCTTGTGGTCATGTGACCCAGGCCTGTCCAATCAGCATGGTCCCTCCACCTTGACTACTGCAGTTGGTTCAGGGATGGGCACATGACTCAAAGTGGTCCAATGAGAGTCAGCCCTGGGACTTCTGCAGGAACTTGTGGGAAAGAGTTCTGCTGGAGCATCCGCTGAGGTGGTAACACTAGAGCTGCCTGGTGCCATCTGTCTCCTACTGAGGCAGAAGCATTCCTGAGACTGAAACCAACACAGGAAAGAGTTGAAAGATGGTGAGTGTAAGCTTCCCCAGGGCAGCATTTGAGCACTCAGCCCCAGCCAGCCCAGGAGCCAGCCCTCCACTGGATATTTCAGTTTTGTGAGCCAATAAACACCAGATGGTTTAGGTCAGTTTTCAGTGGGTTTTAGGTCAGTTTTCGGTGGGTTCAGTTTTCCCTACATGAGCCCCCACCCCTCCATCCCAGGGCTTGGAGTGCCTCCTTGATAAATCTAGGAGTCCCTCCACATGGGAAGGGTGGTTGTCCATATGGTTGCTCTGCTTCCTGTCTTGGTGCCATCCTCTTGGAGGGAGTGCTTCTGTCCCCCCTCCAAACTGCTCCCCTATTAGTATGTGACAAGGACTTGGAAGTTTCACAGCTGAGGACAAGGAAATAAACAGGATAACATAGACCTGTTTTGGACCACTGAGGCAGCCCCTTCCATAAATCCTCAGCATCCAGAATTCCACCAGTCCAGAGCTGTGTCACCTCAGGCATGTGTCTTAACCTCTCTGGGTCCCAGTTTCCTCATCTGTAAAATGGGAATAATAGTGCCTATTAGGGTTGTTGTGAGGCTTAAATGAATTAATACACATGTAGTACTCAGGACAGATCCTGGCCCTTAGTAAATCTCAAGTGCTAGCTGCTATTTTTATTACTATTTAATTATTATCCTTAAGCATGTCTAGTCTCCCTGAAATACAGCTTTGAGCACGTGAGGCACAGGGAAGACCTGCCAACT